GGATAGCATATTCACCTTTATTCTCATTCTGATCCTGATTGTCTTTTCTTTCCCATTCGTGTGGTATTCTTTATTCCTTGGAACTTCTCTTCTATCAAAGATCTTTCTCCCATTATTCTCACAGGATTGGATATGGCAGCTAATTTGTCTAACCTATACTTTTTGAAAGTAGATTCATGTCGAATCTTTTGGGTCTCCTCTTACCAAATCCAACACCTTTCTCTCTATCTAGCTGCTCACTTCCATCGTCTATTGGAGGCATGGACTACCCAACATACATTTGTTACACATTATCTTCATCAGTTGGCCATCTCTTCTTCACCAGAATATTGATTTCCTACCATCGTCATTCTACATATGCCTTACCAGCTTTGACTGAATAAGTCCTTTTTCTACTTCTCTTACCTTTACATGGGTCCTGTTCTACACCTCACGCTCCTCCTGAGTGGCATGCAGTACCAGTCAGAGTATACCTGTATTTAAATCTGATACAGCCATTAGGGTCTATAACACTCACTGATGAGATGGGGTGTTCCACAAGACCATTAGAGGTTCCCTCGTGGTATATTATTTGCTAAACAAGGCCCAATCCAGAGGGTATCTAGTCATGGACTATCATGAGTAAAGCAGTATCAAGATAGCTGTCCATCCCTCTAGTCTTAGTTGAATAAACTGGGACTGGCCTGCTTTTCAAAATAGAATTTCATGGTCACCCACTGCACTGTCTTAAAGTGTTGTATTCCTCCTCCAAGCTCCCCTGTGTGCTTCCCCCTGCCTCTTTTAGTAGAATATGGGAGTCCTTGCCAGCCACCATTTCCTAGCCACTGGGGTGGTGGACCATGGAGGCTTCCACTTGAGTGTGGCCAATTCCACTCAGTAGAGTGTAGGGCAGTGGTGTTACTTTGGGTAGTTGATGTGAACCCTCCTACTACCATGGAATGGACAAAGATTCACAAAGCTGGCTGGTTTTGGACAGGTGATGGCCTACCATGTACAGTTAACCCTTCTGGCTGGCTTTCCTCCATCCTACCAGTGCCTGGATGTCAGTTTCAAGGCAGTCTGATGTTTGATAGGCACAGGACCAGCCAACATAAGTCCTCTCTCAAGTGGTTGGTAGGGACCCTCCTCCTACTGCAGACCAGGCAGAAAATACTTGGCATCACCTGGTTTTGGACCCGAGTAGACAAACAATATAGGCTTTCCCCAATCCTACCATTGCACAAATGTTGGGTTCAGTGGCCTGGTGTTGGATGTATACCTGGACACTAGTTATGGCAGCAAAACAGAGGTTACTTTTCCTTTCTGCTTTCTGGTTTTTAGGTGAAGATGGCTGGGGCCCTCATCCTACCACAAACAAATACCCAATGCCACCTGATTTTAGACTCTAGTTGACCCACCATGTACAGACTAATGCTCTCTAGCCACACTAAACTATATGGAACAAATGTATTCCATACTCAGATTCTGGACTGTACTCATCTTCTGCCCAACTTGGGGACACATAT